TATCTCCCTGGCTTTCAGCTTTATCTTCAACTTTGGCCTGACAATTCCTTTCTATCTCGTCAGCTCTTTGCTATAGTTAAGAAAATGCTTCTAATCTTTTATGAATGATTTTTAATTGTCTTCAGCAAAAGGTTTTATCTAAATAACCTAACCCAAGTTACTCCTAAAACACCAAAGACATTTTTTCTGTTTTTATTCCTGATTTATTTGCTATATCAAGGTCTTTTAGCAGAATTCAAATAGAAATTTAATTGTGCTTTTACACACAGCTTCCTTGGTTCTTCCCCACTCCCTGACTTCTTTGGCAGGTGAACAATCTAAATCGATTGCTTTTTCACTTTTTGTTCTTGCTTTGTCCACACTGAGAACCTCTTAGTACCTCCCTTTTTTAATTTCCTCATATTCTAGTCTTGTTAGCCAACACTAATGACTCAATGTAAATATCTCAAAGGCATAGAGATTTCTAGAAGACTTAATGAACAATCATACCTCTTGTTACTTAGGTTAAAAATATTGATCATTGCATATATCATAGCAACTATGATATAATCAAATATGGCAGTTAACCAGAGATAATAGAGATTAACCTTCACCCAGACCTGCCCTACAATAGCATCAAGCTATTTGCCCTCTTTTAAATCTTACTCTTATTTTTAATAATTCTATATCTTTATAAAGATAGATTTATCATTTATTGTCATTAAAGGTTGTACCAAGAGTTACATTTTAAAAATATGACAGTGGTACTGTTTAATGTAATTGAAGAGGTATAGAACAATTTCTTGGAGTGGTTTAAGCAGGTGCATGGCATATAGTCATGTAGCTTATGCATTGTGCAACCCTAGAGGTTGCCATTTACATCAAGGTACAACCTAAAGGAAGCCCTAGACTAAGATGAATTTGGGCTCATTTTTAGTGAGTTGATTGTCTAGTGTCAAGGTCTAAATTTTACTGGTTAAATGCTAGCAAGTTATTTTCTCTATAATTGATGCTATCTTACTAGTCATTCTTAATACCTTAAAATTTTGCTGAGAACTGATAGCTATTCAGGTCATTTCTGTTGATGACCCAGATAATAATGAGCTAACCTATATTATACCAGAGGATGAGGAAATATTCCATAAAAGGAACCATCCATCAACAAGACATAACAATTATCAATTTGTATGCACCAAACAATGGTGCTGCAATGTTCATAAAACAAACTCTCCTCAAGTTCAAGAGTCAAATAGACCACAACACAATAATTATGGGTGACTTCAACACACCGCTCTCGCCATTAGACAGATCCTCTAGACAAAAGCTGAATAAAGAAACTATAGAACTCAATAGCACAATCAATAACCTAGACTTAACCAACATATATAGAATATATCAACCATCATCAAGTGGATACACGTTCTTCTCAGCAGCACATGGATCCTACTCAAAGATAGACCATATATTATGCCATAGGGCAACTCTTAGTAAATATAAAGGTGTGGAGATAATACCATGCACCATATCTGATCATAATGGAATGAAACTGGAAATCAATGATAAAAGAAGGAAGGAAAATCCTACATCACAAGGAAATATTCCAGTTGAAAAAATAAAAATGACTTATATAAGCATTTGAAAATCTATAGATATCTCTCTTTGATCAATGATCCCAGAGACCTGTGACTTAGCAGGACATTCTCAGTTTATGTAGAAGTCAATAGTAGCTACATTATTTAAAATACCATAAAACTTCTATTAGCAAATATATTTTTAGCCTTGAGGAAACAGTTCAGACATGACAATGAAAGCAGTCTCTTCAGGGGCTCCCAGGAACTAGTAAGTTCTTGATCCATATTCTCTTTTCAAGATGATTGCTGGGATCATTCTTCATTCTGGCTTTTCTTACCCTCACCTGGGAATTGAGTACCTTTCCTCTTCAGTATAAAGGCATGGTTTATTTTGATCAGAGGCCCAAGTCACAGTACATAATAACCAGTCACTGTGTATACTAACTTAACTTTGACCATATCTTGTATACCACTTAGCCCTGCCCTAAGAGTTGGCAAAGGTCAGGAATGAGTTTGTAGAAATTTTGAAATTGTATAATAGAATTTTGAATTTGTTGATTCATTTTATCTGATGGACCCAAAACTTACTTACAAGGAGACAAATTCTCAGGAGGCTGGTATTGTGGTCTGGTAGAAAGTATAGAGACTCACCAAATAGCCAAATGACCTTGACTCATCTTCAGGAGCATACTGGGCCTCTTTGTTCATCTGTAGAATGAGGGTTTGAGGCTAGGTGGATTCTGAGTTCCATTCTAGAATAAACTGCTCTTATATTCTTCCTAGAGATGAACTTAGATACATGTGCGTTAAATCTTCTAAGTCAACTCTACCAATTCTAGACAGACTAGAGCCTAAGGCATTTGCATAGGACAGAGTTTTTGTAGCATTTTAGTTCACTAAATAATTACTTTTTAAAAGAGCAGTGCTTTTAGAGGTGGAACAGGGTTCAGAAACTTTAAAAACATATTTATTTCCAAACTTTCAGTTGGAACTTCCTTAGATATACATATAATGTCTAAGTCATTGAATTTTACAAACTGAACATGCCCATCTAACCAGCACACAGAATATTATCTGTACCTCATAAGTCCTCTCTCCTTGTGTCCACTTTTATGATTATTACTACCCTCTTCCTTCCAAGGATAACTGCGCTCCTGACTTCCCTATTGATTAGTTTTGTCTGCTTTTGTTTCGCATATGAATGGAATCATGGTACATTATGCATTCTTTTATGTGAGGTTTCCTTGGCTGACATTATACATCTGAGACTCATCAATATTGTTGTGTGTAGCTGTAGCAAACACATTTTTCCTTCAGATAGACTGATACATCTTTGCAAACTGTATTGACATTCTCATTTGAGAGACTCATTTGAGAAGATCAATAATATGCCATTATGAACAGAGGATAAAAATGCTCAAGAGAAGAAACAAATGAGAGGCATTTTATAATTTATTAACACATTGTATTAATATATAATACAATTTATTAATTTTAAAAATGCAAATCCTCTTTTGAAGGAGAAGGATTCACCTCCTGGTCTAAAATGTTATCATGCCATGTCAAGGAAAGAATCACTCTCCCAGTACTGGTTATGGCTACTAAATGACAAGAGTCTCAAAGAGTGCCAGCTTTACCTTGAAACGAGAAACTGTAGTTTATTTATCCCCCTCTTTCCCTGCCCTCATCACCTTAATCCTTGTGCTACATGACCCTGCACATGCTGGGTGCAAAATAAAGATTTGCTGAATGAATGAATGAATGAATGAATGAAGAATATAGCTAACATTTATAGGGCATTCACAATGCCAGCCACTGTGCAAAGATCTTTCCTTTACTCATTGTTTTAGTCAGCTTTCTTGTTGCTGTCACCAAAAGACCTGACAAGAACAATTTTAGAGAAGAAAAGTTTATTTAGGGCTCACAGTTTCAAAGGTCTCTGTCCATAGATGGACGACTCCATTGCTCTAGGCCCAAGGTGAAGCAGAGCATCATGGAGGAAGGATATGGTGAAGCCAAGCAGCTAAGAACATAACACCAGGAAAAGAGAGAGAGAGAGAGAGAGAGAGAGAGAGAGATTCCCATGGTTAAGGGTCTTATAACCCAATCATTTTCCCTCTAAATTTTCTTTCATTGTCTCACACATGAGCTTTTTGGGGACACCTAATATGTAAACCATAACACTCATCACAGCAATACTATAATGTTGATGCTGTTATCACAATTTGCTAAATGGGTAATTTGACCATTGGCAATTACTTGCCTAGAGCCATTCACGTTATGTGGCAGAGCTGGATCCTTTCAACTCATGCTCTTTAGTCTTCACCACTGTGTATGCACACTCTGCCTCAGGCTTGCAGAAGCTGCCTTGGTGGCTGGATTGATGGGTACTCTTGGCCAGTAGGGTCACCAAAAACACAGCCTGGTCTGTTGCAGCCCCTTCCCTTCTGGCTATGTGGGAGTGTGTTCATTGGGCTCTAACTGCCTCCCTGCTTGTGCCTGAGCTGAAGAGTGCATTGCATTTTCCCAGATGGCTTCTTCCTCCCTGAGCATTCCATGGCATGACAGGTGCTGCCTGCCTATCATGGGTTTTGTTGGTCAACTCCTCCACCTGAGCAGAATAGAAGTAGTCTTAGCATTTGCAGTACCCCACCTCCACTACATGTAATTCTTCTAGTTACCCTGTTCAGTCCTCACATCTCATCTGGTACATGTCGACTCTCCGTAGATTCATTGAATGAACAAATAAGTGAATGGTAAGTGAAGCCTTTAAATTCAATTCTGATATAAACTTTGTTTTTTAAAAAAGTTTGACTCATGGACTACTAAAAATGCAAGCAGTGACAATAAGATGCAATAAAGAGGAAACACAAAGTACCTGGCCTTTTACAGTATAAGACATAAGTAGGGTAGATTATTTAGAAGATTCTGTGAATTCTTCTGATTCTTAGTATAATCTCAACCAGCCTTTATATGGTGGTAATAATTATATACATACCATTTTGGTTTTAAATTTCTTCTGATATTTTGAATGTGTTGGTATTTTCTTTTCTTTTTTTTTTAAATAATTTTTAGTTGTTGATGTGCCTTTTTAATTTATTTACATGTGGTTCTGAGGATCGAACCCAGTGCCTCACACATGCTAGGCAAGTGTTCTGCCATTGAGCCACAACCCCAGCCCCCGTGTTGGTATTTTCCATAGATCTTCATGGACTACCTTGCTAATCATTTTGAATATAATGTCCTGCTTTGTGACTTTCCCTTAATCAAAACATGGGCTTTGCTTTTTAATGGCTGGTGCTCACCTGGCATTGCTGATTTTCTGGACTCATAGTACTAAAAGGAATCAGCCTGGCAGGTTGCCTTGGTTGAGGAATGACCTTTTGGGTATTGCTGTGTTGTGATTATGGCAGCTGTGACAATCTGTTGTCCCCCTTCTTTTATTTCAGGATGTTTTTCTCTGGTGGGCAGTGTGGTCATGTTGGCAGACCTGAAGAAGTTTTACTGACATTCAAGATATTCCTTGTCATCATTTGTCTTCATGTTGTTCTGGTTACATCCCTGGAAGGTAAGGTGTCTGTTTTTCTTTTCTTTTTTTCTCTGTTTATTTGTGTGTGTGTGTGGGGGGGGGTTGTTGTTATTTAAGATCATTTTTTCACTATGGTAAAATATACACAACATGATATTTACCATTTTAACCATTTCTAAGTGTACAGTTATTGGCTTTAAGTACAATCATGATTTTGTGCAGACATCACCAATATCCATTCCTGGAACATTTCACTATTAAACAGTAACTCCACATCCCCCAATCTCTATTCTTTTTGTTTCTATGAATTTGCCTATTCTGGGTACTTCATAAGTAAAAATATAGTAATATTTATCCTTTTCTGTTCAATTTACTTCAGTTGGCATAATGTTTTCAAGGTTCATCTATGTTTTAGCTTATTCAACAGAATTTCATTCCTTTTTAAAGTTGAATAATATCCCATTGAGTGTATGTGCCACAACTTACTTATCCATTCATACATTGATGAACATTTGGGTTGTTTCCATCTTTTGGCTATTGTGAACAATGCTGCTATGAAGATGGGTATACAAGTAACTATTTGAGTCCCTGCTTTCAGTTCTTTGGGGTATTTACCTACGAGTAGACTTGCAGGGTCATATGGTAATTCTCTGTTTAACTTTTTGAGAAACTGCCAATCTCTTTCACAGTGGCTGTGCCATTTAACTTTCCCATAAATGAAGCACAAGGATTCTAGTTTCTCCACATCCTTGGCAACACTATTTTCTTTTGTTTTGATGATAGGTATGAAGTAGCATCTCATTGTGGTTTTGATTTGCTTTTCCTTAGTGATCAGTGATGTCAGCATCTTTTCATGTGCTTATTGGCCATTTGTATACCTTTGGAGAATTAGCTGTTTAAGACTTTTGCTCACTTTTTAATTGGGTTATTGTTGTTGTTGTTGCCTTTTAGGAGTTATTTATATACTCTACATATTAAATCCTGTGTAGGATATATGTTTGGCAAATATTTTCTCCCATTCTGTGGAGCATTTTGTCACTTTCTTATAGTATAATTTCATGGATAAAAGTTTTGGTTTTATTTCTTTTTTGTGGTACCAGGGATTGAACCCAGGGGCACTTTACCATTAAGGTACATCCCCAACCCTTTTTATTTTTTATTTTGAGACAGGGTCTCTAAATTGCCTTGGCTGGCCTTGAACTTGCTATTCTCCTGCCTAAGCCTTGCAAGTCACTGGGATTATAGGTGTGAACCACCATGTCTTGAAAAAGTGTTTAATTTTGATAAAGTCCATTGTATCTATTTTTACTTTGATTGTTTATAGGTTGGTGTCATACCTAAAAAAATCATTGCCAAATCCAATGTCAGGAAGATTTTCCCATTTTCTTCTAAGACCTTAGTTCTTGCATTTTGGTCCCTTGATCTATTTAGAGTTAAATTTTATATATGATGTAAGAATCCAATTTCATTCTTGTTCCTTTGGATATCCAGTTTTCCCAGCACCATATGTTAAAAAGACTGTCTTTTCCTTTCGAATGGTATTGGTGTCTTTGTCCGAAGTCAATTGACCAAATGTATTAGCATTTATTTCTGACATTTATTCTATTTTATTTTGTGGTACTGGGTATTGAACCCAGGGACACTCTACCACTGAGTCACAATCCCCCACCCCCTTTATTTTTTGTTTTGAGACAAAGATTACAAATTCAAGGCCAACCTCAGCAACTTAAGGCTGCATAAAGGCCAGCAATAGGGCTGTGATTTCTGTGGGTATACTGCCAAAAGAACACTGGGCTATGCAAATATAAAGAATAATCATTAGGGGGCTGAGGATATAGCTCAGCTGGTAGAGTGCTTGCCTCACATGCATAAGACCCTGAGTTCAATTTCCAGAACCACAAAAAAAAAAAAAAAGAAAAGAAAGAAAGAAAGAAAAGGAAAAGAATACTCATTAGGAGTAAGATTAGGAAATGAATGTTATTTAAGAAGACACTATTAGCCAGTGTGGTGGCTCATCCCTGTAATCCCAGTGGCTCAGGAGGCTGAGGCAGGAGGATTGCAAGTTCAAAGCCAGCGTCAGCAACTTAGTGAGAACTTGTCTCTAAATAAAATATAAAAAGGGCTGGGGATGTGGCTAAGCACCTCTGGGTTCAATCCCTGGTGCCCTCCCCCCCCAAAAAAAAGACATTATTTAAGACAGGTAAATATGTTTCTTATTCAGAAGAAGGTGGTAGGACCAAAGAACCTTTGTTGGATAAAACAAAAATCTACTGGCTGCAAACTGTAGCAACATAAATAAACAAAACACATGTACCAATATACATACTTGCAAGCAAATTAAATGGAAAACTTTCTAGCAAGCTAAAGCACAATGGGCAATCTTTTACAAAGTAGGCACAAGGGCATGTTGTCAAGAAGCCATACGCTTTAAAAAAATAAAATAAAAAAATAAAAATTCAGTGTGTACTAAGGATTACAATGTGCCAGATCCCTGCTTTGCACTAACCCACTTTCCTAATCTTTTCAACCAGATCTGATCCTAGTCTTGCCTCTGTTTTTCAGAACAGGAAGCTGAGGCTCAGAGAGATAAGTAACTTGCCTAGGGTTGTTAGCCCTGGGAAGTAACAGAACTGGGATTTGAACCCAGTTTTTGAACCCAGAACAGGAAGCTGAGGCTCAGAGAGATAACTTGCCTAGGGTTGTTAGCCCTGGGAAGTAACAGAACTGGGATTTGAACCCAACTCTAGATTTTGTGCTCAGAACCACACAATCAGGGTTGTTGAAACATATATCACTGAGCCCTTGTCCCAGGGTTTGTGACTTAGAAGGTCTGGGGTGGGATCTGAGAATTTACATCTCTAATAAACTCCCAGGTGATGCTGATGCAACTGGTCTAGGGACCACACTTTGAGAACCAGTTTATAGAACTAGTAGAAGATAAATAGGGAGAGAAAATGCCTCCTGATATTCATGGTATATAAATTCTCTTGTGGCCATGCAACATCCACATAACTATGGTCACACACATCATCTCCTTGGAACATTAAAATATCATTGTCTGATCGGCAGGGCAAAAATCTTGTGTCCCCACATTATTGATAAGTAAATGTCCCCCCAGTGATCTTATTGGTTAGGAAGTGGTAGAGTTCATGAATGATGCCACATCTTCAGTCTCACTGTGGTGCTTTTTCCCCCACAGGGACAGATGAGGCAGGAAAGTGAAACAGGAAAAAAATTCATCAAAATGAAAGCTGTCTGCTAGAAATAAGACTTTTGAAAATTTATATGTAAAAATGATAAAAATGAGCAGGTAAATAGGAAAGTACATAACTCTGAAGCAAACCTAAGTAGGGAGAAGCAGAGTGGTAGCTTAAGGCAGATGAATGAATGTATTTCTTGTTCCAGCATTCTGCTTATGTTAGTCAGCTTTCCATTACTGAAACAAAGTACCTGAGTTGATCAACTTAAAAAGAGGAAAGGTTTATTTGGGCTCACAGTTTTGAAGGTTTCAGTCCATGGTCAATTGGCCCCATGGCTTTTGAGCCTGTGATTAGGCAGCACACCACAGCAAGGAGTGCAGGGTGGAAGAAGCCTGTTTATAAAAAGGAAGAGGAAAATATGGGTGTCCCACGGTCCCCTTTGAGGACACACCTCCTATGACCTAAAACCTCCCACCAGGTCCAGCCTCTTAAAGGTATCTATCAGCTTTCACTAGCACCAAGTTGGGGACCAAACTTTTTAACACATGGGCCTTTGGGGAACATTCCAGATATAAACTATTGCACTGATGAATTGGTTTCTTAGAGTACTGGCTCTTAAAGTGTGGCCCCCAGACAAGTAATATCAGTATTACCTTGGAGCTTATTAGAAGTGCAGATTCTGGGGCCCATGCTAGACCTGCTGGATCTGAAATTCTGGGGAAGGGGCAGTATTCTGTGTTGTAACCAGTGCTCCAGGTATATTGATGCATGCTCAAGGGTAGAACCACTGGCTTAAAGAATTGACTAACAGCCTGCTGGCAGCCTGCCAGAGCAGAAAACTAGTGAGATCTGGGGTTAGAACCCCTTCGCCCATGCCTTCTGCCTGCTATGTGTATGATCTTGATTTGCCACTAATATAAGCCTCTGTTTCCTCATCTTTCCATCAGGGGAGCTATGATAAGGCTCAAAATATACGTTTTAAAAAAAAAAAAGAAACTCATGAAAGCAAAGGTTTTTCTGAATTAAGTGTCTTGGAATCTCAAAAGGGCTAAATAGGAGTTTTTTATTATCTCTCAGAACTTCCAGTAAGAGTATTATGTTATTTAATGATCACAATGATTGCCAGCCACTGGTCTAAGCCCTTATAAAAAAAATAACTTGTTTAAAGCTCATTCAATAACCCTTTGAAATAGACACTATTAGTAGTTTATTTCACAGATGAGGAAACTCTGCTATGCTAGACTTAGTTGCTTGCTGGTTTTTACATCTGTAGATTAAAAACAAAGATGGAATCCATAATTGTGAAAATCATGAATATGGGTTCTGAATCACCCAGGTGGCTCAGGGCCACCATTTCCCTGAACAGCTTTGGACTGAGACCATTTCTTTTCAGTTCAGAATAGCTTGGGTCTGGTCTTTATGAAGGCCAAGGGGACTGACTTGGTGAACACAGAGTTATCAATTGTATGATAGCAATTGCCTGCTCTGGGCCCAGCAGCCCCAGATGCCGAGAGAACATCATCTCTGACTCCAGGGAATTTACACTGCAGGTGGAGGAACATGACTACAATACAGGTACAATACAACACAGGTACAAGTGTAGGTACAAGTATAGGTCCTAAAGCATGAATCCGTGCTAAAGGACTCAAATGTGTGGCTCTTGCCAAATCTGTGGATTTGTCTAGCTAAATGCTAAGACGCCCATAGCAGATGCTATTAGTGCCTTACCCATAACACTCCGAAGGTCACCTGCAGACTTTTCCTGTGGATGTTGACTGCTTCATGTCTTCCTGACTGAGAATGATCTGTGTCCATGGGAGCATACTTTTTTTTTTGATA